ATTGAATAGCTGTAATGATAAGTTAGTCTCATTACCTTGTCCGTGAATTAAGGGAGATCATTTCGTGTCAGAGCTTTTGTTGAGCTGTTATGCCTGTAAATGATTAAACATATTCCTATATTATTTGGAACACATTTTATGTTTTTCAAATATCATTCTTCCCATAAAATATAAAGTAAAGTAACACAGAGGGTAAGTTTTAAAGCAATAGTGAGAGCTGAAACTTCCATAAATTTATTTTATCGATTAAGACGTTGTCTGAAGTATTTAAATTATCGCCCTAATCCGAAGTCAATAGGTCTGTAATACCCACCCCTCGTCACTTAAATGCTTACATTGCATGTTATTGATTTTTTAAAAAAATTTTAGATTAGTTATGAATAATAATTCACATTTTATGAATAATAATTAAATGAGTGCTTATTGATTCCGGACGCGTCAACTACTCAGGTAAATTTTCCCATACGTACAATGCATATATCTCCAGTGACGGTGAGTCATAAATAAACTTGGGTATTTAGGTTAATATGTATATAATGATTGTATAAATAACATGGAATAAATAAGAATCTTGTCAGGAATTGACGATATACTCAAAAGTATCATTTAGGACCTCTTCTTCCCAAAGATAGGCTATAAAACACAGATAGTCGCGAACATCGACATTTTATTTTTATAGACGATATTCTGATTTCAGCCTGCCGTTCCTAAATCGATGCATATCCTTGTGAAACCTATAGACAGCATCCGTTCACGTTTCAACACGCCTGTCACACCATGGGAATTCGATGCCTCCCAAATCGAAATATTCAGCCTTCGTCTCGCCAATCCATGCAATATCAGGAGGACGCGAGCCAACGACACCCGCAGCAGGTTGTAAATTTTATTAAAAAAATCGCAGGCTGTGTTCGAATTTTCCACGAATCTTGCAGTTTCGTCTCTATGTATTGCGAATCTCTGAATATCCGCGGTTGTATTCCCAGAAATATTTATAACTTATTACGACTGCCGCCGGCAATCTTTTACGATTCGGTTTATAGCTTCCTCGGGTTATAACTAGCGGTGGCGGGCCGCCTTCTGCAGCCCGGTCACGGCAGGCACCGCAGCGTTTTGTTTCCGGTAGGCCGCTGCTCGCAGCGCCGCCCGTGGCAATTATCTGCACGACGCGCTCGCCCAGAGCCGACGACGTGCGCTTTCAGCTGTTCCAACATGGCCGCTCCCACTCTTCGCAGCCGAGAAGGCACCCGTCTCTCCTGCAAGTGACTGCTTTACTCGGTCTTTTCTCATTCTTTTCTTCTCTTCGGACCTTTTTTTATTTCTTTTCCGCGAAAGGATGAAATCGGTGAGCGGAATGAAAGGCGAATGCTTGGGAATTAAGTTTCGTTCTGCCAGAGGCGGTTGTGTACTGCTGATCCCTTTAGTGGAAAGAATTTGTGAAGGAGTTGCCAATATGTGGAAAATAAGTAGTCTACCTCATAGTTTTGGAAATAAACATTCCTTATGGCTGTGCACACATGGATAAATCGTAATCCCATTTGCTGTTAATCACCGGTTAAAAGAATAAACCTGTCTCCAAAACGCGCACCAGTTCCACCTACGTTCCCCACCCTTTACGAAAAAATTATGTCCCAAGAACACAAGCGCAAATACAGAAGCACGTTGTCTAGCACAGGAAAGATCAATTATTAACTTTGTTTAATTAAGTAACGTGATTTTAAATGTAACTCCGCGCGTAAACGTACAAATAGAATTAAGTAGGATTTCACTGCTTCAGCTGCTCCAATAAATCTTTCCAATTTTCGTTTGCCCTCCAAAGTGTAACTTCACGATAGAATTAATTGAAAACGTATGAATATAAACTTATCCGCGACTAGAAAACATGTAGTCTTCAACAAATTATATTTTAAACTAAAAATGAATAATGCACAACATAATAATAGTGTAAAGCGTTGTACCAAAGAACTATTAATTTTTTTAAATTTTTATCAATATTAATATCTTTAATAGAAATTTATATTGATAAATTAGAACGTCAAAATTTGATTTATTGATATAATTTGCAGCCTACATTAAAAATATTTTGTGAATCAACAAATTTTAAACAACATCGCATATCATCCGGAAAGCAATTTTCTTCTCTCCCAGAGAACAATTGAGTGGCTTAATCCTTCATCTGTATCAAAAAATTGATTAATTTTTCAGCGTCAGAATTTCCCTCACCCTAATGTACTCGAAACGTCGACTCAAAAGAATAGCCGACACCTAACCCTTCGACTTTCCCTTCAACCCCCACTCAAATACCTGCCCAAGCAGCTAAAACCGGCTCCAAACTTGTCTTTAAACTCCCTCCTAATGCGTCCCCCACACACAGTCTATGGTTTTGAAATTAACATTCATAAGCTCAAGATCCTCCATTCAGACCTCGTAATAACCTCCACCGCGGAGACAAAGATTTCTCGCGCGCGAAAGTAAAACCAATCCCTCCGGGAGTCGCTTTCAAATCGCGCTGACAAGCTCCGCAGAAACACTCCGTATTTCAATTAGACGCCGCATGAGAGAGCGCGGCGCAACGCGGTGCACACTGGCCGGAATCGAGGCGAAATACGTGCGCAAGCAATTGGAATTCTCCGATTTTTAAGGAAGTAGTACCGTAGCGATCTCGGTCTGAAGGATCACGGCTTCGAGTCCCGCCTTGGGCATGGTTGTATTTGTGTTAGTCCTTTAACCCCTCACCATCACCGTATTGCATCAAACTGTTAACCCTATCGTTAATATATAGTGGTCGCTAGCGACCTAGCTGTTAATGCGACCTTAAACAACAACAAACAATTTGATTTAAATGCAGTGACCCTTCAAGGTCATGAGGTGGACGGAGAGGATGACAGTCATCCATTTGCAAGCTTCGTTACGACTTAAATATTTTGGTATTGAAACGCATTGGATGAGTCTGCTCGTCACCTTCCAGCTCGTGCCCTTAAAGGGACACTATATTTAAATCGGAGTATAGTTTACGTATCAAAGAGTGGTGGTTTCTTAGGAGAAAAACGAGGAATGTCCTTGTCCCAATTTTTTTTTATTTTGACTGTCATTACAAATTAGAACATTTATTTTGACTTTAGAAGGAATATACATTAGCTGAAAGTCATGAGGAAATTGGCTTTAGTTCAGTTTTAAAACACGCACGGATTGTACGGAACGTGAAAACTATATAAATCTCTTTAAGTAAAATTGGTAATTATTTCATGTAGTAATCTTTCTTATTCTCAGAGCTGCTACGTTCAGAAGAGAAAACTATTTTTAACTCAGCGCTACAGCGAGGAAAGATGAGCGCCGTTCGTGAACCGCTTTCTAAAGATGATCTATTCATTATTCGTATTATTAATTAGTTACTTATTATAACCAATTACTAATTAATAAATGACACTTTTATAAACCTTCAATAACTAGATTCTAGATCTATCTTATATTTGACAAATTGATACAGATAAAAAAATTGAAAAAAATAACAGAATGTGTGTAACTATGAGGAATACACTAAAAAGTAAGTCAGGAAATATATAATAATGAAATTTTATAAAACCTTAGCATTTCCTAGTGGGCTATATGGATGTGAAATCTAGATCATGAATACAAGAATTAGAAGTATGATTCAGACTGGCAAAATGAAATTTTTGAGGGGTTGTATTGTTGTTACAAGGAAAGATAGGATTCGTAATGAAGAGATATGTACCTAGTTAGGAATTTATAACCTAAATGGAAAAATATGGGACAATGGACGAATACAGGAAAGTATGGAGAGATCACATTGCAGAATGAAGGACCCAAGAATACCGAAACAGATTCAGAAATATAAGCCAAGAAGGACTAGTGGTGCTATAGAATGACACAAAATTTCTCGTATTCGTTTTCTATTTCCGTTGGTCTCGGCTAGCTACTAGGACTTGGCGTATACTCTTGCCAGCTGCCATCTATTGCCACTGAAAGTACGATTTTTGAACAAAAATACACTGAAATGAACTTCAACTTATACTCGTATTGAGAAGAGTAATTAGCACTATCCGATCAAAACGTTTAAAGAAAAAATTGGAGCGGTTTTTGAAAATATACGGAAGGCTTCATGTAAAGTACCCGCAACTTTTGAAGAATGTTTTTCAAAATATCAAAGTTTCGATTCGAACCAAATGGATAGGTATTTCTTCAATTTGTAAAAAATCCTACGGATGGTTTAGGCGCTGGTGTTGTTCACATACGCCAGACAGAAGGACGGATGGACGTTTTGAAAAAAAAAATCATATTCCGCATCAGGGTCCCCAAAACGTGTATTTCCGTTGAAATTTCGAAATCGATTTTCCGAAACATTACATAACTTTCCCTGAACTATGTACATTACTCCATATATACTGGAAAGTAAAAATATACGTATACGTATACGGGAAAATAAAAAAAGAACCAAAGAAGACCGAAGAAAATATAAATAGTTTTCACTAGACACTTCATTAGACCAATAAGTATACGCAATGAAACGCAAGTTCTAATGCTTGAAAAGAAGAAGAAGAAGAAACATTTTAAAAATTCATTATATGTTAATTATATATATAATTATATTATGAAAAGTAGCTGGTAAAAGTATTTCATTTTGGTGAGTAATGTGTTGTATTTTATTTGAATTACGTTAGCCACTTTAATCTGGCAAACGTGTTTAACTAAACTAACTTTGGCGTCCGAAATAAAAAGAACAAAACATGCATGAGAAAGTAACTATAATAAACATATTCCTGTTAGGGTCAACTTCTCCGATCAGTTTCTTTAAAAATAGGAGCCCTTTTGAGTTTATATCACATGGAGTGGAAAATTAACATCACACTGATTCATTCACTCATTATGTATTCTTTCATATTTCACAGAGCTCGTACGTCTAGAAGTGAAAACTATTTTCAACAGATCACTAAGCGGATACTACGTTTCAAATATTGTTATAGTATAATACTTTGTCGCACATTTATAATAGTAATTTGGCACGAACGCGATGCGCACGGGCCCCGAATGTTCTCCTACCACTGTGCGGCGCGGTAAGCGATCTCCGACGCGGCCGCCAGGGGCGCAGCGAGCGCGCCAAGCGATTTGGGAATCCCCGCGGAGAAAGCCGGCGAGCGCGTGGTATTTCCATAAGAAAGGGATGCGCGCAGGTGAAATTAAATTACGTAATATTAACCTGGCCGATGCCGCCACCGCCGCTGGCTGGCGGGACGCAGCGAGGCGAGACGCGGAGTGGAGCGGTGCGGAGCGGAGCGCAGCGGAGGCTGCCTGGGAGCGGGGCTGTGAGACGCGATGCCTCTCCGGCGCCGCTGAGCCCTCTGAAGGCCTGGAAGAAAGCGAGAGCGGTTGCGTAAGGCAGGGGGAGGAGCTGTGGCAGATGTGCACGTTCCTTCCCTTACGTAAGAAGGCAGAACGGGACGAATGAACTTACGCAAGTTTCATACGTTTATTGATGAGGAAACACACCCAACAGAATGTACTGTTATAAGAATCAAAGGTTCGACAATCGATGCCTGGATTGTGTTAAAAGTTTTATTATTCTATGTAATTGTTGACAGTCTAATAAAGCAGCTTCCCACGCCTGGGGCAGTGTCCCGCTGGGGGGAGATACCTGGTTGTGGAAAACCCGCAACGTCGACGACAGATCTCGCCATCGAGGGGGGAAGATAACCGCTACCTCCGCGTTAAATGTGGGTACTACACTTACGGGACCAATGACCTTCGTAGTTGAGGCGCCCGAAAACACTGATCAGTCGTTTTAATAAAGCGCGTTTCACAAAATCCATTCTATTCAAGAAATTAAGATCAACAGTGTTTAACCATATATGTTGAATGTCCCAATCGGAAATAAACGGAAAAATCTCTTTATCTCCAACTGAATTTACCATTTCTCTCTACTGACCAATCGAAGGCTGCAACACATCTGTCGCAGGGGAATATAGAAACAGCAATCTGCCGATATATTAACGGAAAATGAATGAAACACATTAATATAATTAATATGAGTTTTCGGCGCAATCTGACAATCTGTTGGACATAATTTCATTTGTGGAATAGTCTTATTAAATATCACTTATTCATCGTGAATTTATAGCAAATTTCCAATGCACTCGTATTACATATGGTAATAAACAATTATGAATAAGGGAAATCTCACAACTAGACACATAAATTTATAAAAGAGATAAATTTGTATTGAAAGCTTAGGTTTCTGACACCAATTCCAAATCAAAGAAATTTACAACAATAGTTGAAAAATAAAGAGCGCAACCGAACGTATGGAGTAAAAGCAACGGAAGAGAAACTACGTTGATGAGGTCGTGAGAAAGAGGCAATCCTTGCCAAAGCCAACAAACCCGAGAACAGCATCCGAGCGGCAGGCGATTCGCCTTTACTGCCGCAGAGCTTTCGTTTGTTTTTACAGCGATTAGCCGCACTTACGCTCCACGAGATGGCGCCTCGAGCAGCATGCCTCGGAAGGGGCCACCGTTAAGGAAAGGACGACTTTTTGGGCCCTCGCGCTCCAATGACCCGGAAACCGGGCCCTCGGAAATTACGAAAGCTTTCGAATGACAATGGGTGTAGTGATAGCAAACACTTTTTACTTTCGATCGGAAGACGTATTCTTTCCGGACGATTGGTAATAATTAAAATTAATTATTCACGTAACGTCGTTGAGTTTAAAACGTTTAGCAAATGAACAATCATTTGATCAAACATTTCTATATTGTTAAGAAGAATATTGTGTTAAGGATTTTTTTAATCAATAATCAAATGAAGCAAGTGAATTCCCTTGCCATCCAGTTTTTACTTTTCCTCCTTGGAGTATTGGAATACCTCAACAATACTATCTCAAATTTTTGGTAGTAAAATTCTAACTTTAAAACTCTTAATAATTAAGACTCTTTCTTTCCAGCTTTGAACTCACGTTCTGATTTAATGTCTATTGTTGCCGTTTCAAAGATTGTTGGCGAAGGTGACGAGAAGATATATGTACTTCTATAGCCGAAAATTGAATTATCTGGATATATGTGTATGTCTCACGCCTAACTCTGTCAGATCAGTAGCTTTTGCGCTGAAACGTGGAAAAATTGCCAAGACTAAGATCACATTGTGCTGTTGCGAAGATCTTTGATACATTTTAGTTTTTAGTGGAGTTTTACGTGAAGCTCCTGTGATATTTTTAAACTTCCAGAAACACCCAGAAATGTTTTCTTAAATTTGTTTGCTCGAATAAAATAATGTGCATTTATAAATACGGTATAGATAAGATTTTCAATGAAAACATTAAATTGTAAAACCATCCAGACCGTGATTTTTGTAGTTTCCTTCTGTCATCCAGGCGAACGCTAGGCTTGTTCTACTCAAAGGTCACGACCGCGAAACCGATGTTGGTAGCCTAATTCGTTAAGTGAAGTCAGGAAAGTTAAGCGAATTCGAGACACCGCGGATTTATAGATGGGTGACCGACTAGGAACCTTGATATCTAACGGCGTCGAGGACAATCCCTTTACGAGTAAATACGATTACAAATATAAGTTTGCTGGTATAAAATAATGCGCATTCATAAATACAGTGTAGTTTCTATTTTCATTAAAACCGTTGAAATTTTGAAAATTGTAAAATTTCAAATTTATCTTTTAGTCTTCAAAATGAGCAGTCACATACCAATGAAGGGGTGTCATCGGTGTACTCCAACATTGTTCGTTCCATGTGTATTTGTTTAGGCAAGTAATTTCTATTTCATTATGTAGAACTTTTGTTATTAGAAGCTTTCTGAACCCATCATGAAAACTGTCAACCTTCAACCTGTATCGGACTCCTGCTTAGAATAACCATCGGCACTGTCGTCTTGCGTAACCCCTTCGCAGAAACTCCTGCTTTCTCTAATAGTCAGGCTCGCCCATAAAACACACAACATTCTTTGAAGTAGCGAACAAATATACAATTGAAGCTCATAATAAATGTCATTCTAGCTCTTCAAAAAATAGGACTTGCCACCTGTGACACCGCAAAAAGAGCCACGAGTACAGAAAATATTTGAAATATATAAACCCTTGCCATATCTAAAAAAAATAAACATGCAGAAAATTATTTTACTATTTTGCTGAATACATGTATCATTATATTTTAAATAAAAAATATTCCTGCAATTGTATTGCAATTTATTTTCACACATTCACAATTTGCTATTCGATGAGTTTTACTTACTACAGATTTGCTCATGCATGTATCCCATGAACATTTTATATACCACGTCAGTGTGACTTCTGCAAATTCATATATTTCTACTTATAGACATTTTCTAATGAGTTGCGTAATTTCAGTAACATTTCCATGAATACGTACACCAAGTCATTTAATATTATAGCAGGCAAGAGGTCAAGTTATTTCCAGACTTGACATTTCGTAGGTTCATTGAATTAGTGAAAGGTATATCAAAAAAACAACGTAAAAAAATTCGAATTATTCTTTGAAGTAAAAACAGACGAATGATAGCACTCTGGTGGTAGAACTCGAAAATAACCACTAATTGTATTACTAAAGAAATTTGAAATCATATAGTGCCGATTTACGTTTAATAATCTAAAATACGCTTTAAATTTAATTTTCTATAATGAAACAGTATCATAGGAATTTCTAATTTCAAATAATTTAATAATACGAATGTATTTGAAATGTATAATTGTGGCTTACGATGCCAGTGACACCTATCTCCCCTCGACACTTTAGAAGAACAGTCATAGGCATTACACATAAATATGAAAGGCTCTTAGTATTCCTACTCTCTACATCAAATTCATTCTAGGAAATCAAAAGAGAAAGATTTCAGTCAGATGCTTCTCACCACAGAGCAGAAAATATACATTATTTTAAAAATGTATTTTTTTAACACGAAATAACAATACTTACTTAAATTGTAATAATGGATAAAGGCAAGTATTCTAATACAATTATCATGTTTTTAAAGAAAATGACTTAATGGAGTCAGTTCTTCATACACCTGAGAATTTCATCTTTTCTAACCAGATAAGCGAACCAGGACAACGTGCTAATTTCAATTGTTCCTCTTGTCATCTTTCCTTTTCTTTCCTAGTCAATCCTGTGTCATCTTTTCATTATATTTCTTCCTGTTCTCTTCGAACAACTTCGAACCAGATCTCGCTCTCCTACCTTGGAAACCGTCTGTACAAAATATTCTACATATACATTTCCCTAGCTACTTCTTTTAAATTATTTTTCTCATTTATATTCATGCTGTTGATGTCTTCTCCCTGATATATAAGAACTCTTTGTCAGCTCATTGCCTTCGATTCTATGGAATAACGATTAATTCGAATTCAAAAAATAATGGAGTTAAGAGATGTGGATGGGATGAGGTAATAATTAACCCGCATCCGCTTTCCTCGGAACAAATGCCGCATCATATCCCAAGGACGTGCGCAGGCGCATGGCAGGGGCGCACCCTCCGTCAGGGCGCTCCCTAGCGTCGAGCGAGCGCATCGCGACACGCCCCAGCATCCGGCGCCGCTCCTCCCCTGCGCGGCGCCGATCACCGCGCCGTGTTAACGCTCGCGCCGCGCGTGTCCAGAGTGCGCGGCGGACATGTGACCGGACGCCCCGACCGCTCACGCCCACGCCCCTCCCCCACCGTGCCTCGGCGCCAGCTCGTCCCCCTGGCCTCGTGCACGCACTCCCGTCTCTGCGATGATGGGCTCTCGTACTGCCCTCTCCTGCACGCTCAGCAAGGGTTGCTGCCTCCCTCGCTGTCCCATGCCACCCACTTGTCACCCATTGTCTCATCAATTGTCTCGCAATAAAGCTTAACATTATAAGCTAATTTCAAAAACTAATATTCCGTGTATGTAGTAAAGGTGCTTCCATTAGTGTTTTGATTTTTGTAAATTACATTTCCATTATCTGATGGAGCTGCACCTCTCTTGTTTTTGGTGGCAGACGCAGCCACCCACTGTAAATGGGATCATCTTGCGCTTCCTTTCGAGCATTACACGGCTCTCTTGATTGCTGAACACCGCTTTTTTTCTTGTCTGCAAACGCCTCCCACCCTTTGGTCGTTCTGGTGTTCGTTTCCTTGCGGGCTCCGTATTTCATAACACTTGTATAAAGAGTCCACGACAACCCTCAGAAGATTGAGAAAAACATCAAACTTCACCCCTGTTCTCGCGGATTTTCTTTTTCTATACAGCCTTTCAAATTTTCAGCAACAATGCGTATTTCTTAGAATTCACAACTTGCTAGACGCTATTACGAAAAACTTCCAAATACATCTTAAAGAAGTAAAGGTAGTAAAATGGTAGGTGTTAG